GGCCTGCTGTGTTCATCCAGCTCGGCACCTTGTTATCTCACATTTCTAGCTTTATTCAAATTGAGCTATACCATCTCAGGCAGCACAACAGGCTTCCAACATACTACATCAAGTGAAAATTAAAACTTGTATAATGTTGTTTATTCTAGCCAAAGTAATAATAAAAGATTATAATACCTGTTACTGAGCTCTCAGGCTCTCTTAGGAAGCTGGCAAGTTTGCAGCACTTCCTATAAAACTGGTCTGGAAGTGTATACATGGAATATTCTCAATGAATGAAGGGAGGAAATGGCTATTTTGATAAAACATGTGTTCTCTCTTAATTGTAGTTGTAGAGGAAGAGACCACTGGTCTCCCTCAAAACTTCAATAATTGTGATAGTAGGACCTGCCGACGCTGGAGTCTGAGAAAACAAGGTGTGGAGCTGGATGAACACAGCAGGCCAGGCAGCATCAGAGGAGCAGGAAAGCTGATGTTTCGGGTCTGGACACTTCTTCAGAAACGGGGGAGGGGAAGGGGGCTCTGAAATAAATAGAGAGAAGGGGAAGCGATAATAGAAGGTGGATAGTGGAGCAGATAGGTGGAGAGAAGACGGACAGGTCAAGGAGGCGGGGATGAAGCCAGTACAGGTGAGTGTAGGTAGGGAGTTGGGATGGGGATTAGTCAGTGAGGTGGGAGGCACGGATAGGTGGGAGAAAAGACGGACAGGTCAAGGAGGCAGGGACAAGAGGGGGTGCTGGTCTTGGGATGAGGTTGGGGGTGGGGAGATTTTGAAGCTTGTAAAGTCCACATTGAGACCATTGGCGGTTGTAGGGTTCCCAGGTGGAATATGAGGTGGTGTTCCTCTAGTTTTTGGGTGGCATCGTTGTGGCACTGGAGGAGGCCCAGGATGGACATGTCATCCAAGGAGTTGGAGGGGGAATTGAAGTAGTTCACGACTGGGAGGTATTGTCGTTTGTCACGAACCGAGCGTAGGTGTTCCACAAAGCAGTCTCCAAGCCTCCGCTTGGTTTCCCCGATGTAGAGGAGGCCACACCGGGAACAGCGGATACAGTATACCACATTAGCGGATGTGCAGGTGAACATCTGTTTAATGTGGAAGGTTTTCTTGGGGCCTGGGATGGAGGTGAAGGGGGACATGTAGGAGCAGGTGTAGCACCTCCTGCGGTTGCAGGGAACGGTGCCGGGGATGGTGGGGCTAGTGGGGAGTGTGGAGCAGACTGGGGAGTCATGGAGAGAGAGATTCAGGACACAAGGTAGCTTCACCGGTTCAGCATTAGGTGCATACTCTAAAGGCTTAATTTTGAATCCCAGATGGAAATCTGTAATCTGAAGATGTGCGATCAAAAATGTTTATGATATAATTGACTGGACATAGAATCTTATGATATAGTTAACTGTATGTGTACATTGTATATATCTTTTTTTTAAGCAAAGAAAACTTTGTAAATAAAAAAAAACACAGCTATAGTGGCAACACTGTTGTATTTGTAAGGAACCAGCTGTTTGGATGGATATGCAGAATCTGCAACACTAAAGAAAGGTCACATGACCCAGTTTGTGGTTGAAAAATGTATGTCAGATCTGGACTTGGAATCTGAGGTAACTTGCCTTAGGTGCAATATCTGTTGCCCTCTCTCTTTCACTGTAACTCCACTCAAAATTTGAGAATTGGAAACCCACTGGAAGTTGCGAGTTCCTAAGGGAGATTTGAAATCTACATCCCCTACTCCAGAAAAGTGACTTCACCCAGCCAGAACTGATCCAAGAAGACACCCCAGTGCAAAAAAAGTGATTTTGGCTATCCATCAGCATATAGGACAATTTGTGAATGATCATTTCTTTCAGAATTTAACTGTTACTTGAACATGGGTGATTTTAAGATGAGTGTTAGATATTTTTGATCCCAAGGATTAGACACGGGTGTATTGTCTTCATATACACATAAACACGAACGCGATATTTTTTTCAAAAAGGGTAGTTGTTTTTATTTACACAGTGTAAACTCTTTGTTAACTATCTTTAGATTGCTGAAGTGCGTTTTACTTGCATTAACTCATACTTTGTTAATTGTAATGAATCGGCTGACCTATTTTCTGATACTGAGCAGTGTAAAATTGGCAATATCAACTTTTTAAATTCAAATGTTGCTGTGTCCAATCAAAGAGTAGGGCAAGGAAGGGAATAGGTTCACTCTCCGAACTGGATCTTAACGACTGATATGAAATTACATGAATACTCATGTTTTTGACGCACAGGGTTTGTACAACCCACAAGAACATAATGATGATGGACAGGAATTTGTTGAAGTATCATGGGTCTCATCAGCAATGTCAGTGAGAGACCCATACTGTCTCTTCCAGGGAAGACCCACACAATCTAATACCAATCAGATACTGGTGAGGCCATTGGTGAATCTTCACTTGGAATTGAAACTGGATGTTTCATCCAGTGACAGCTGCTGGCAAATCAGAGATTAGTAGTTCATGTACTTGACAGCGCATGTAGAACGCTACAGCTGCTGTAAATAAAACATTCACTGACGTACCAGGAGTATGACCAGTGATTTTTGGAAGTGGAGAGATTGTTTCCTGGAGTTTGGAGAAGGTCATGGTGATGGAAAACAGGGGTAGAAACAGGGTGGCTCCCAGTAGATCTCCTGCCAATGTCCAGACCCTCAAAAGACACCAATTGCTTTTGACTGAGGGATCTCCAATCGGCAGCATGAAAACCCAAGTTCAATTCCATGGTAGGTAAGAAGGCTTTGGGTTGAAAGGATTTAGGTATGCTACCACCTCAACTAATTAACTGTCCTTCCCAACTTCAGCCTCTCATTTCAAGGAACAAAAGATTTTGCCTATGAATTCACCAGGTTTAGTGAAGGCCAAAGGTTGCAAAAGTCCATTTTCAATGGTTCTGAACAACCTCCCTCCTAAATGAATTATCACATTGTAGTTGATTCGACCATTAACATGGACTCCATACAAAAAAAGCGATTAGAATATCCTCTTGAAGCAGAATAGAAAGATTTTAAACCAAGCTTCTGTGTACCCTATAAAACATCCCATGCCACTATATTAAAAGAGAACAAGTAAGTTCTTCCCAGTGTCAAACCAATACTTGTCTGTCAATCAATATTAAACGATATATCTGGTCACGACTTCATTCCTTTTTGTAGGATCCTGCAGCATTCAAATTGTCTATTGTGTGTCCTATAGTATATTATTGACCATGTTTCACAATTACTTAATGGACTCTGAAGTGTTTAGGGAATGAAGTTGTTAGAGGCTATACATAAATGCAAGATTTTCTTTTAGTCCTTTGAGAAATCAAGTAAAAGCAAATCATAACATTTAGAATCCTTCTTAAAAAGTGAAAACTTTGAGCTTTGAGGCAGGGGAGCAATTTAAAACAAAATTTTCAAAATCAACAAATAAACAAATGAATAACATGGATTAAAAATGTTTATTGTAAATGTCACTTGGGATATTCTTGTAATATTTCTATGAAGAAAAGATTTTTGGTTGCACTTACATTGTAACCTACATTCGGCAGTGATCATGAAACGGCTGAAGGTACTCATTGTCAGTGTCAGAGGAACCAAGGTAGTCAATTATTGTGTAGCCAATTCATGACCCTTTCTCAGCCGATATCAGTATTCTGCCTACAGACTTGGAGCAGCACCTGTTTGGGCATTCAGTGCCCTTGGAGAATGTGGCAAAGACAACTTCTGCATTAAGACATCCCATGCCATAACAAAGCCCCTACTTACTCTTTCTGAAACTGATTGACTGGCCCCAGAAAGCTGCCCAATTTTCCCCTGAAGAGGAATCATCCCAGACTCGAAATATTAACTTTACTTCTTTACATCGTTGCTGCCGAAGCACCTACGTTTCTCTAGTGTTCTCTGTGTTTGTTTCAGATTTCCAGCAGCAACAGTGTCTGGCTTTAATGCCCAATTTAACTGCACTGCTCTTTATCATGAGCTTCCTGCAATGCCAGCAGCTTCACTGCTGCCAGGATTGATGGGCCTTCAGCCATCAGATTGACTAAAAGCTCCTGGAGGTGGAATCCTTATTCTAAAAACCTTGGGAATCCCAATGATAGTCAGGCAAGTACCTGAATGGAATTTAACTCTAAAGGAGGTACTTGAAAATTGTTACAGCAGATTTGCCACCAGCTGGCTGACCAGGGTTTGAGGCCACTCACACAGTTACTAAACTCAGCCCATTATTTCAATTAAGAGAACATAATTATTGAAGTAGGAGTGTTGTTGGTATAATCACTTACGCCCTTTCTACCATCAATAAATTTATCCAATAAGATGCCATCTCTCCTCTGCAGTTAGTCATTCCTGGGATGTGGGTGTCGCTGGCCAGGTCAGTATTTATTCCCCATCCCTAATTGCCCAGAGGGCAGTTAGGAGTCAATCACATTGCTGTGGGTCCGGAGTCACATGTAGGCCAGACCAGGTAAGGATGGCATACTTCTTTCTCTCAAGGACATTAATGAACCCAGATGGGGTTTTAGGATAATCAACAGTCGCTATTGGGCTAGTTTTAATTTTAATTGAATTAAAATTTCACCATCTGCCATGGTGGGATAGCAGTCCATGTCCTCAGAACATTAGCCTGGGTTCTGGATGACTAGTCCAGTGACATTTCCATTATACCACTACATCACTTATCTTCCTGATGCTGCTTAAATGAAGACTGAAATGGTATGTTCCATGGTTTAAAAGGGAAGATACACTGTTACCCTTTCAAGTTTGAAGCAGAGAACAGGTGAAAATGTGGGATCAACTGTGCGGTCAAGACACTCAGATTGACTCACTCATACAGTGAGAGCAACGCTTTCTACTTGACAGAAGTACCATTCACGGTAGAAGGCAGTGCATCATTGTAAAAATGTTTTTAAAAGTCTACTTCTGGTGAGAGATCACAGTAGGCAGAAAAACATCACTGAATGTTCCTTTAATAGAACTGTGGGCAATGTACTTTCTGATAAACAGACTACTAATTACTATTGGTGATGTTAGTAGGCCAATAGTGAACAAATCTAATGCCCACTATTTGAAATGAGGCATAAAACTGTCTAAAATAAAAAAAACTCATTGTACCAAGCTAAACATTCAATTATTTGTACCTCCAAGTCATTTCTTGCCTCAATGCCCTGCAGGGTGTTGGTTTATACAATAACAGAACTATGTTTTTTAAGATTTCCTAGCATGTTCCACACAAAGCACAAATGTTTGACTCTTACCTTTGCCATGTGATGTTTCCACCGTCCATGTGCAGTTCAATGAGTTTCGATAAAAATCAGGAAACCCAGGAGACAGGATGGTTCCACTTGATCCACGGATGTAACCTCCACACAGAGCTAAAAATCAAGGAAGTTGGATTCATAGCATTCAATAATCACTAACCTAGAAGCTTTATAAATATTCTGCATTGCTGACAATGTTAAAATAATGAATATACAGTACATTACTGCATTTCAACAGTAATCTCAAATGTACCAAGCCAAGATTTTATCAAAACTTCATTAGCATGCAAATCAACACTTCTCATGAAAGGCTTTTCCACAAAGTCAAAGCACATATTGGAGCTAATTTATTGCCATTTTGATATAAATTCATAATAGTAGCAAAATTACAAAATAATCAAACCTGAATTTGGCACTGTACATTTCACCAAAATCTTCATATTTTGATACCACAAGCACATTAATGTCCATTTGAGTCACAGAGGTTTACAGCATGGAAACAGGCCCTTCGGCCCAACTTGTCCATGCCACCCAGTTTTCACAAATAATCCAGTTCCATTTGCCTGTGTTTGGTCCCTATTCCTCCATACCTATTTGATCCATGTACCTGTCCAAATGTTTCTTAAATGATAAAATTGTCCTCACTTCCATCACTATCTCTGGCAGCCCATTCCAGACAATCAACATTCTCTCGATGTGAAAAAATTGTCCCTCTGGACTCTTTTGTACCTTTCACCTTTCATCTTAACCTATGCCCTTAGTTTAAGATTCTCCTATTATGGGAAAAAGCTGTTGGTTATCTATCTTATCTCTGCCTCTCATGATTTTATAGATCTCTATAAGGTCACTCCTCAGTCTCCTATGCTCCAGGGAACAAAGTCCCAGCCTATTCAACCTCTCCTTATCACTCAAACTTTCCAGTCTAGGCAGCACCCTACGAAATCTTTTCTGCACTCTTTCCAATTTAATAATATCTTTTGTATAGTAGGCCGACCAGAACTGCATGCAGTACTCCAAATGCGGCCTTACCAACACCTTATACAACTGCAACAAGACACCCCAACCCCTATACTCAATGCTCTGACTGATGAAAGCAAGCATGCCAAAAGACTTCTTCACCACCCTGTCTACCTGTGATTCCACTTCCAAGGAACTATGAACCTTTACCCCCAGTTCTCTTTGTTCTGTAACACTCCCCAGGGTCATACCATTGACTGTGTAAGTCCTGCCCTGGTTTGACCTATCAAAATGCATCGCCTTGCATTTATCTAAACTAAACTCCAGTTGATCAAGATCTCACTGCGTTCCCAGATAATCTTCTTCACTGTCCGCTAGACTACCAATCTTGGCGTCATCTGCAAACTTACTAACCAATCCTCCTAAATCTCATCTAAATCATTTATATAAATGACGGATAACAGTGGACCCAGCAACGATCCTGCGGCACACCACTAGTTACAGGTCTCCAGTTTGATAAACAATCCTCTACCACTACTCTCTGTCTTCAACCTTCACGCCAATTTTGATTCCAATTGGCTAACTCCCACTGGATCCTATGAGATTTAACCTTACTCAACAACCCACCATGCGCCTTGTCAAACGCCTTGCTAAGGTCCATCTAGACAACATCTACCACATTGCCCTCATCTACTTTCTTTGTCACTCTTTCAAAACACTCAGTCAAATTCATGAGACACAATTTCCCACACACAAAACCATGTTGACTATCTCAAATGTGTGTTTGTCTCTCCAAAAGCTTGTAGATCCTGTCTCTTAGAATCCCCTCTAAAAACTTACCCACCATGAACATTAGACTCGGCATTCTGTAGTTCCCAGGCATTTCCCTGCAGCCTTTCTTAAATAACGGCACAAAATTAACCAATGTCCCTGGCTGTCAATGATACAAATATCTCCTCAAAGGGCCCCACAATTTCCTCCCTAGCCTCCCACAAACTCCTGGAATACACTTCATCTAGTCCCGGGGATCTATTCACCTTAATGCATTTTAAGACTTCCAGCACCTCCTCTTCTGTAACGTGGACTCTCTTCAAGACATCACTATTTATTTCCCCAAGTTCCCTAGTATCCATGCCTTCTTCGATGGTAAATACTGACGAGAAATATTAATTTAGGATCTGACCCATCTCTTGTGGCTCTGCACATAGATGACCTTGTTAATCTTTGAGACTATTCTTTCCCTAGTTACTCTTTTGCCCTTAATGTACTTGTAGAATCTCTTTGGATTTTACTCTACCTTATCTGCCAAAGCCATCTTGTGTCCCCTTTTAGCCCTCCTGATTACAGTCTTAAGTGTACCCCAAAACCCTCTATACTCCTCCAGGAATTCATTTGACCGCAGATGTCTAAACATGTCATACGCCTCCTCCCTTTTCTTGACAAGGGCCTCAATAACTCTCGCCATCCAGGGTCTCTGACTCCTGCCAGCCTTATCCTCCACTCTAACAGGAACATGCTGGCCCTGAACCCTCATTAACTCACTTTTGAAAGCCTCCCACATACCAGGCATCCCTTTGCCTTCAAACAGCCTTCTCCAATCAACTTCTGAAAGTTCTTGTCTAAGACCATCAAAATCGGCCTTGCCTCAACTGATGGGCCAGACCTATTCTTTTCCATAGCCATTTTAAAACTAATGGAATTATGTTCACTGGTCCCAAAGTGCTCCCCCACAAACACTTCCGTCACTTTGCTGTGCTTTATTTCCTCAGAGCAGTTCAAATTTTGCCCCTTCTCTGTACACTGCATAAGAAATTCTTCCTGAATACACTATATAAATTTCTTTCCATCCAAATCCATAACACAATGGCAGCCCCAGTTGATGTGAGAAAAGTTAAAATTCCTGACTATTCATTCTTTATTTCTGTACCTTGATTTATGATTTAAAAGGCGATTATCAAAAAAATGTGTATTTGTCAATGAAAGAACTACCAAAAATACTCAACGCCCTCATTGATCAGTAATTTACGGAGTGCTGATGTCATGTAAATTGAACCAAATTTCAAGATAATGATTTTCAGTGCATCTCCTGCCACTGCACTGAAATAGGAAGTCAGAATCACTGATGTCAGCATGGTCCATCTAGATTAGGAAGCCTGCTAGAGTCTCAGAGTAAGATCACCCAAATTTAAAGTTCTGTAGAAACATTTGAAATAAAAAATAAACATTTTATTGCTGCTTTGTTAAAATATCTTTGCATTGCTCAATATTTTGGATTCTACCTACTGCATCATTGGCAGTGGCACCACAGGCATTGCAATTGCATGTGTATTGAGTGTGCCCCCTGCAGTCATCATGGCAGCAAATGCATTTTACCATAATGCTGAAATCAACCTCACTGAGTTCCTTCCTGCCTATCATAGCAACTGTCTGGCCAAAAGTAGAATGGGATGCAATGCTATGTCCCTGCTCACGTCAGTGCTATAAACAACTGCTCACAGCTGTTCTCAAGAACAATGGAGAATATCCCACAAATTTCACTTCCCATCAGTAGAAAGGTTCACATTTCTGCTTAATAAGTTAAAGACTGTGAACTCATACAACATTGTTGTAACCCTGCTTCTTATCACTTCAAGGGATTTTTATGAAATGCATCAAAATTCAAATTTCCTGGCAGCCACATTTTTTCCGCTAGTCCCAATGCCAGCTAATTAGGTGCTTCATAAAATTAGTGGCAAGAGGAACCTGTCCAGTCTATACCTAACTGCACATGTGGTGTCAACATAACCATTCCATCAACTTCACAGGTGATGAAATTAGGTGACAAGTAATCACCTTCTCAACTAATTTTGCTTCCCTCTTTCCCTAAGACTCAGAAGTAGCAAATACAGCCTTTCATTGAAGTGATCTACTCCAGCAGCATATCTATGACAATTGGAAGAATACCTTCACAACTAGGCAAAGCACGACTCCATTGGTAGTTAGGTTCACAGACAAGAGCCTCATCATCACTTAGGGTGTAGCCTGGATCACAACTAAAGGTCACAGAAGATCCGACATACAAAAGATTTCCATTGCGTTGACCATTTACAGGAATTCCAGGGTCCAAGCAAGAATCAGATTGTAGTTTCACAGCTGAAAATGTAATCAATGAACCAGAATTAAAACCAAATTAACAAGAAATGGCCATTGCCTAATTAATTTGAATTTACCAGTAATTAAACTGTTCAGGCAATTGCATAGTTTGGGTCAGACACAAATCTAGTTGTGAACAAAATGCCAGCATTTCATTATAGTCTCAGTTGATAATGGCCAAAGCAGGGTCTTACTAGCTCCAAGGAGTTTTATCCATTCTCTTTGATGAAGGAATATTTTAGTTGAAAATAATTCAATACCAGCAGAATATCATAAATTAATGCTTTAGATTTTGTAATGTTGGCCAGATGGAAATCATCAGCTTACAGAACTATCTTTTGTTCTATTCACACTCATGAAAATTATAATCTTTACCCATTATGTTTGAATTTAGTAAAAATGTTTCATGTGACCAAATTTGAAGTGCACACTGTCATAGTTTTTGAAATAGATACCAGACAATCTGGCTTTTAAATTTGATTCAATTAACAAGATAGCATAAACTGTGAATATACAAGAAACAGCAGCGAAATAATCAACATTAATGGCACATCAACATTTAATAGTGATTGTTTTTTGTTACAGTATTTTAAGCTATTCAAAACTGTCCTTCAGCATGTACCAAGATCGTGTTTAATTGCAGAGCAATGTTAGGAGAGATTACATTACTGTTGTAAGCTAAAACAGTACTGTTTCTTTGAAATGCAGTACTGGTGAATAAAACTGATAGCGAAAACTGAGATAGTAGGAACTGCAGACGCTGGAGAATCTGAGATAACAAGGTGTAGAGCTGGATGAACACAGCAGGCCAAGCAGCATCATAGGAGCAGGAAGGCTGATGTTTCAGGCCGAGACCCTTCATCAGAAATGGGTGAGGGGAAGGGGGTTCTGAAATAAATAGGGAGGGAGGGGGAGGCGGATAGAAGATGGATATTACGAGAGAGTTGCAGTGGGAGAGAGGTCCCCTGAGGTTTGTCCGGAGGGAGGAGGGTAGCTTCTTCAGGCTCGGCATCCTTAGAAGAGGCCTGCTGTGTTCATCCAGCTCTACACCTTGTTATCTCAGATTCTCCAGCATCTGCAGTTCATACTATCTCATTACAATTTTAACCCCACTGCGAAGCCTCTTCTAAGGATGCCTAGCCTGAAGAAGTTACCCTCCTCCCTCCGGATAAACCTCAGGGGAAATCTCTCCCACTGCAACTCTCTCGTAATATCCATTTTCTATCCACCTCCTCCTCTCTCCCTATTTATTTCAGAACCCCCTTCCCCTCCCCCATTTCTGATGAAGGGTCTAGACCTGAAACGTTCGCTTTCCTGCTCCTATGATGCTGCTTGGCTTGCTGTGTTCATCCAGCTCTACACCTTGTTATATCAGTGAAAACTGAGATTTCATTATATCAAAATACCTGTACAGCTATAGGGAAAGTGTTAACTAATTTGGCTGTGAATTGGTAAGATGAAAATGAAATCTGCTCGTCTGGAGTTTGTTCCATAAACTTCTGCATTCAAGAAAGAATATTAGATTCTAGTTTATCAAAATCCTTACTTGATAGGAGAATTTTTTAAAAAATGAAAACAATCACTCTCTCACTTTACTCCAGGCAATATTGTGTAGTCATTGCCTGTTTCACACATTTTAATTTTGTTTTTTAATTAAATAATGTTGTTCATTTCATCCTTTATAATTTTGACATTCATGAGAGGTGAACAGAATGATATGGCTAGTGGCACTATGATATTCGGGAATTATGAAATCTGGCACTGCACATTATTATTGTTTTTGCAGGCAGTTCAACTAAAGGACAAACACAAGTTACTCAGCACTGGCCAAACACATATCCCTTGTCACACAGAGTACAAGATGACACCGACATCAAGTATTAAAGGTGATAGCTGCAGAGAGAACAAGTCAGGGAAGTTTCTGCATGTCTCATGTAGCATTTGAACTGTAAAGACTGGCAGACACTGAACAGGGCAGATTAGTGGAAGCACACATTTAAGAAACGATTTTAAGACAGAATGAGGACATTCTGTACTCTGCTCATGCCGCTGCACTGCAAGAGCAACACTGCAAGTATAACTCCCCCACACCGTTCCATACAGCCCATTGAATTTCTTTCTCTCTCAGCTGCATTTCCAATTCCCTTTTGAAAACCCCACTTAAATCTGTCTTCACCACATTCAAGCAATGCTTTACAGATCGTTATCACTCAATGCATATAAAAAGAGTCTCCTCACATTGCCTTTTTACCTGCCATTACTTTAAATTGGTTACCTCTGGTTCTCAAGCCCATTACCAAGTTGGATGATAGGGGAATTCCCCCTACCTACTCTGTCCAGATCCTTCATGGTTTGTAACACCTTTACCAAATCTCCTTTCAATCTCAGCTTCTCCAATCTATCCTCTTAATTGAACTGTTTCATCCCTATTGTAAATCATTTCTATACCTTCTTTAAAATGTTCACATTATAATAAAAGCATCGACAGAGTGACTATGAGTTCAGAGCAATGTTGTGATACAGGAATGGAGGGTCCCGATGCTTGCTAATCGATAGTTGTTAATCACAGAGATACCTCTGAATAGAACAGCACAATTTACATTGAAACTGCAAAACAAAAAATTAAAGCTTGTAAACCCACCCAATGAAATACAACTTGGGGCTATTTTAAACACCCAAAAACCAATCACGCACTTAACTAAGCATTTCACATCCAGAAGTGGATGGTGCATAAGCTCTGTCAAACATTGTATTCTGGATGTTAGCCCCTGAAAATGTCCCACTCAGGGAGCTTTCAGAAAGGACGCTAGAGACATGAATTCCCATTTCTTCATGCTCATTTAGATGCAGGACATTTGCAATTTTGTGTCATATGAAAAATTTTGCCCGGTACACCAAAGTCTAAGTCAATAATATAGATTGGTGAAAGTCCTGGCCTTAGTACAGGCCCCTGGGGAAACTATCATATACCTTTCTCCAGTCAGGAAAAAAACAACCATCTGCAGCTACTTTTTGCTTGCTATTACTGAATCGACTTCATATGCATGCTGTCACTGTCACTTTTATTCCGTGGACTTCAACTTTGTTACTATGAATGTATGTGACCTTGTTTTCTAAAATTCTGCAAAAGCACTTTGCAACAACATGGGGCCTGGCAGGATACAATAATGTAATGCAAGCAGCTCCCTTATCCTTCAGCAAATGTGAATACTTTTGTATTATGGTTCCCTTATGATTTTACGTAGGCAGAGTAATAGTGATTTAAAAACTGTCTTCAGCTAATCATACATGAATATTTCTTTCAAATACAAAAAGAGATTGCTGGGAAATCTCAGCATGTCTGGCAGCATCTGTGGAGAGAAATCAGAGTTAATGTTTCAGATTAATGCTTCAGAACTTATGCTGCCAGGCCTGCTGAGGTTTTCCAGTGATCTCTGTTTTTGTTTCTGAATTCCAGAATCTGCGGTTCTTTTGGATTTTATGAGTATTTCTTTCTCAAGAGAGTAGTCAAGAAGTGAAATTGATTTATCTATCCTTCCAGTGACTTGGTTAACTCATTTTGATTGGGTTGTAGCCTGTGGACATTAACCAATTCGCTATGAAGCAAACTCTGACCAATGGTAGCTCTCTTTGAAGTGCCAGTGAAGAAAAGTCTACAGAAAGAGAGAACAGCTACATTTATACCTATACGGCTTATCTTGCTCACAGAATATAAATGGATAGTTATTGTTTTACAGTAACACCTGCATCAGAAATAGTTTCATTTGGTGAAGACCATTGGTGAAGTTGAGTTCTATGACCATGTAATTTGGTACAGGTTATATTCCATATAATACCACAGTAGCAACCAAGAGGTCATCAATCTAAATATCTCCAATCTAGAGATTGGAAAATACCTATTTTATTTGGGAAACTTGACAAAAGAATTGGAGATAAATGGGCCCAAAAGTTGCTCAATTGTTGTGAAAATCTAATTGGGTCACCAATGTCCTTCAGGTAACAGAGTCCACCATCCCTGCTGAGCTGGGTGGGACTGCATGTAACACCAAAATTATGTTGAGCTTTGTTGTCCTTTTAAGCTCTAAAAACAAGAGCAAGCAGAAACTAATATCACCTTTTCAGCGTATCAGCATTTCCCACATCATCAGCTGAAATAACAAAAGAAAAATGTTTCTATATATGTAATTAGATTTAAGAGTCTAGGGACCTCTTGTTTTGCCTACATAGTTGACATTTCATTGCCTGTCCATCTATATATCTTCCATGCTCATTTTTCCATTGTTGTGCCATTGACTTCCATTATATCAGTTCACTCTTAAGAGCAAAGTACCATAATGGATCAACATTGTCTTCTGCAAGGTCACCAACCAAGAAACTTTCCCAAATATAATAAATCAAGAACTCTCGATGCTGGAGTTCTGAAACAAATAAAAATAAAAATTTCTAGAGAGATCCAGCAGGTCTGGAAGCATCTGTGAAGAAAAGAAAAGAGTTTTGAGTCTAGTGACCCTTCTCTAGAATTGTTCTGGACTGAAACATTAATTCTATTTCCTCTTCACAGATGCCACCAGACCTGCTGGAGTTTCTCCAATAATCTCTCCCACTCATACCGTAGTAAGTAAAGTCACTGTAGTCTCAGAGCACAAAGGGGCTGCTTTCCGAGTACTCGAGAGAAATAAAAATATCATACAAAATATATTGTGGTTTTATAGTGGTATCTGCCCAAGGTTGACCATTTATGGAAATTAAACTAATTTGTCAGGGTAACTGAACCGGAAAGTTATACTAAGGAAGACTACTCATGTGTGAAGAATATTGGAAGAAACAAATAATACCAAAGTAGGAAATGTTAAGGTATCAGGTGGGTTCAGGGGAAGAGAGAAAGTAATAAAGTCTAAATTAGGGTTTTGGTGCATATGTGCAAATGTGCAGAGAGTGGTAAATAAAATTGGCTGCAATGCAGACAGCCCTGTAGAAATATTATGTCATGGAAATAACAAGAACCCAGCTCAAAGAAAGGCAAGACAGGACATTAAACAATCCTGGATATGGGTGCTAAGCAAAGACAGGGAAGGAAGGAAATGAGGAGGGGCAGTAAGCTTGACCAAGGAGAACACTGCAGTGCAGCAGAAGTAGGATGTCCAGGGGAATTAAGAACAGAACTGATTTGTCTCGAGCTAAAGTACTGAAAGGTACAATCATATTAATCAATTAAATCTTGGCATGCCAATTAGTAGAAAAGCCAGAGGTACAAGCTAAGAAGGAATTTATTGGGAAGTGCAAAAATTAGGGAAAATGTTATAATGGAGTCTTTAATTATCTGAATATAGATTAGTATAATAGCAGAGTGGCAGGTCTTGTAACACAATGGATATTGCCCCAGTCTCCAAGCCAGGAGTTCTGGATCCAAGTCCCAGTCCTGGAATTGATGGCCATGGAAAGTCCATCCTTACATAGCCAAACAGCTTGAGTATCAATTTGTAAATTCTTCCAACACATGCCAATAGCAGGTGGCAACAGTAGGAGAGATTCCTTGTCACCAAAGTGATGGAAAGAAATTGGGGCCTTGATCACCATTACATATGGCTCCAGGCTACAACATGCATCTAAGGTTACAACCTGGGGAAGAGGGAATGTAATAAAGTCTAAATCAGGGTTATAGTGCCTGAATGTAAAAATGCAGAATGTGGTAAATAAGATTGGTTGCAAATTCAGACAGGCCTGTGAAAATCTAATGTTGTGGCAATAACAGAAATCTAGCTCAGAGAAGGGCAGGACTGGATATTGAATATTCCTGAATATGAGGTATTTACCAAAGATAGGGCAGGAACTTTGACATTTTGGTGGGTCAGTTAGCTGAATGGTTAGTGTGGATCAGATGGGTACCAACAACAGGGTGTTTGATCCATCTTCTCACTGAGGTAGATGCAGGACCTGCCTTCTTGCCCTAACCATGGTTGACGTAGCAGTACCATAGAGCATATCTTCCTTCAGGCTGAGATCTGAAAATGTAGTAACAATGTAAAGGTCAGAGAAGGGCAAGAATTCTGTTGTGTGTGTTTGGGAAACTTTTCTTTGGCAATGTGCTTCCAGTGTAACAAGGAAGACAACATTACTGGACTTTGTTCTTGGGAAGAAACGGGGAGGAGAGGAAGTGGATCATCTCTCAGTAGGCTAACAATTAGGGGACAGTAATCATTGTATTGCAAGGTTTGGTTGGCTATGGTAAAGAACGAAGGACAAACCAGAGTAAGATAAATAGAGCAAAGAAAGCCAACTTCAATGGTTTAAGAATGGACCTAACCCAGATAAAGTGGAACCAAAGATCAGCAGGCAAAACTGCAACTGAGCAATGGTCTAGAGTCTAGAGTCAAGATAGAGGAAGGTATCCCCTTCCCACAAAAGGAGAAGAGAAAGCAAGCAAACCTAGGGCTTTCTGAATAATGAAAGAAATTAAGACAAAGCAGAACAAAGTGTATTGATGACAGAAATCAGCTGTATGTTGAGAAACAGGTCAAAAGTAAAACATTCAATAATAAATAAGTAAATACTAGAAGCAAAGAGAACATATTAGTGGACACTGGAAGTTAACATAAAAGTAAACACAGAAGTCTTCTATATATGTAGAAAAAGTTAAAATAAACTGTTCAGATTAAGAATGGGCCAATCATAGATTAAAAGGAGGAATTACCCATGGGGCAAGGGTATGACTGGAGTATGAAGTGAACAGTGCACCTGTCTTTACAAAGTAGAAGACGTTGTCCAGATCCTGGTGACAGAGGAAAAAATTCAGACACTTAAAGGCTTTAAAATTGATGAGGTTGTGTTATTGGATAAGCAGTCTGTACTAGAGTTAATAAGACAACACAGCCAGAGGGCTTAGACTTAAGTCTCAGGACTGGTGCCAGTAGACTGGAGAAATGCTATACCTTTGTTCAAAAAATTGTATAATGATAAGATAGCAATAACAGGTGATCAATTTCACTTCAATGATGAGGAAACTAATTCTGGACAAAATTAATCACTGTTGCAAACATGGTTAATTAAGGAATGTTGGCACAAATTTATTAAGTGCATATTATGTGACGTTGAAAAGCTAGCACAACAATTTGAGTGCACAAGAAATACACCATATGGCCTCATTGGCTTTATGAACAGGGGCACAGAGTTCAAAAGTAAGGAAGTTATGTTAAACCTGTATGAAATCCTGGGTCAACACAAAATTTTGGAAAAATGTGAAGATATTAGGGAAAATGCAGAAACAATTCACAAAAGAAATTCCACCAATGAAAAACTTTAGCTATGTGGAAAAATTTGAGAAGTTGTGGCTGTTCTCCTTGGAGAGTGGAGGTTGAGAGAATAATGAAGGATCTATGCAGAGTATATTTGGGAAACATTTCCCATTGGTGGAAGGAGGGCACAAATTTAAGAAAATTGGCAGAAGAACCAATTGAGACGTGAGGAAGAACCTTTTTTGTCCAATGAGTGGTTAGGATCTGGAATTCCTCGCCTGAATGTCTGGCCAAGATAGGTTTGGCTGAGGCTTTCAAAAGGGAATTGGATGATAATGTGAAAAGAGAAAGGAAATATGGCAAGACCCTGGGGAGAAAAGCAGGATATCGGCAGAAGACGAATTGCTCCTTCAGCAAGCCAACATAGATGTTTTTATTTTGTAACCATTCTATAATTCTTTAAGGGGTGGCATGGTGGCTCAGTGGTTAGCACTGCTGCCTCACAATGCCAGGCACCTGGGTTCAATTCCACCCTCAGGCAACTGTCTGTGCGCAGTTTGCACATTCTCCCCATGTCTGCATGGGTTAGCTCTGGGTGCTCTGGTTTCCTTCCACTGTCCAAAGATGTACAGGTTAGGTGGATTGGCCACGCTAAATTGCCCATTGTGTCCAGGGATGTGCAGGCTAGGTAGGTTAACCATGGGAAATGCAGGGTTACAGGGACAGAGGAGGGGGATGAGTTTAGATGGAATGCTCTTCAGGGGACTGGTATGGACTCAATGAGCCAAAAGGCCTACTTCCACACTGGAGGTATTATGTGATTCTATGAATTCCATTCTTGATCAAAACATGTTCACACAGCAAATTTAAAGTGTTGATTGATAATTTAGGTCTATTAGGACTACCCCTTTGATGACCAATCATTATTGAAGAAAATTGAAGAGATTTTGAGAGGTATAATGAAACCACCAGCTCGGATTTGAAGCTGTGTGTTGAAATTCGAAGCAACTTACTTTCAAACCGAATTTGGAACCCAACATCTGAGTGGCTTTTGTCAGTAGAGAACAGGAGATAAAGATAGTTGCTGGTACTGATCAGAAACTGAGGCACTTGAGTACCATGATAGAGACCTATCAGTGGTGAGGAGTAGGATTTCCCATCTCGGACTTCCAAGGTATCGTAATTTACTTCCGTTTTAAACCTGAAAAGAGGTGAGATAGCAATTATTATTAGTAGGTTAGTACTAGAACTTAGTACAAACAAAACTTCCAGTATAGATATCCCAATAACCATTTTTCTTAACTATTTGTACCGTTTTTCTACAAAGAGCCAGTACATGAACAAAACTAATGATTTTAAAGACATTTCACAGCTGTATGAAGCTATATTTGACTACACATCCACAATTATAAAGGTAAAGTCACCAAAATCTTACCAGACCACAGGGCTGCTCTCTCATTAGATAGAGTTGACTGGTGATGGTTTAACCTGAAGGTCACTGCTCCTCAGATTGGGGAAGAGATTTGAGAATGATAGTTCTTCATGGTGATCTCAGCCAATATAGGAATTGAATCCATACTTTAGCATCACTCTACATCACAAACTAATCAACTATGGGTTAATTAACTGAGCTAACCAATGAGGGAAGCACACGTGCATAATGTTTAATAGATATTTATTATCTCTGTCTTCTGGTTTTCATTAAATCAGTGACCTTGAGGTTGTTTTAGACTCTTCAGAAAATGTGGAGTCATTGCTCACCTTTCCTTGGCTGATACTGCAGAGGAACAGGTCTACTTGAGGAGATTTTGTCAATGTTCAAAGTTCTAGAGACTCTCTACTAGATGGTGGATAAGGTTGCTCCTGGCAATGAATAATTATCTTTATAAGGTCAGAAAGTACTCTTTTTTACCCAGCTATGGTGAGAAACTCAGAATATGAGGCAGCAGTCTTCTCCTAATAATCTTTCACAGCTGAGCTAGCGCAGAATACTGATGTATTCCTCAAATATCATTTCACTGTCTAAACAGTGTGTATCAAGAAGTAAAAATTGTATACCATCCAGCCAGCAGAAGATGCCAGTGAGGTCAAGGACATATTCTTTGTGCAGTGAGTGAGTGGCCAATCAAATGGTGTTCTCAACTTCACTTTCATCCTTATTGAGCACACTACAACAGCAAGAAAGACAATACACTTCACCACATGCAATCAGTGCTGAGAGCATTAAGATCGTGGATGTTTTTCTTTCCCAGAATATCTGACATGATGTAGTTAAGACAACTCTCTTTTGGCCACGTTCCAACATACACTGTCATGTCCTGGTGAGGAGTATGCTTTCCCATTCAATCAAAATTTTATAGTGCCATATTATGTGGATTGCATATATAATATAAAGTTATGTTTATATGAATATCTAATATAATTTAGCTGGAATGAAAGTGAATGCATTTTTTGCTGTTTAACATCTTAGTGAATTGTTGGTTGTGGGAATAGGAGATAGGAAACTTCCATAATTTAGTATAAGCTTAAGAAATGCTGCTTTTTCAAGAATAGTCTTATTTCTATTGATTTATGTTTGTTTCAACTCTGAGAAGTCTTGGATGGTATTTATTTTGTGAAGTGCATGCACTTCCCTGTTAGAAAGGGTTGATGATACACAGCAGAGAGCTGAAGCCTCACATTTAAAATTACAAATGAACAGTAATCCAGTAAAATAAAAACAGCTGGCCAGACATAGTAGCAGGTGGCAAAAAAAAAATCAAAGTGAATGGGACAGCCAGTAAAGTTGATATTTATTGCAAGTCAAGAAAAAGAAAGATAGGGTTTGCATAATATCAAGACTGGGGTCTGGATGTTGTTGATAGAAGAGACATGGAAATCAAGTCATTTTAAACTAATAAATGTTGATTGGCTAGGAACACTATTGACAAGTTTAATAAATTTGTAGGTGAGCGCATTGCATGAAGATTCAACTTCCACCAAACCAGTTTATTATAGTATATGCAAACAGAAAATGGTCACAAGAGGCTCAAGAGGGTGCTATACCACCTCCCACCCCCCCAACCCAACCCAACCCAACCAAACCCCACCAACCCCACTGCCAACTCTTTAATGGATAGGGGTCACAATGTTCAAAATTCAAACTTGTGTATTTTCCTTGTTTTCCACTTTGGTCTGAGGCTGAGGAGACATTTCCTATAATGAGATAGCAGGAACTGCAGATGCT